ATTCTTTATATTATTGTCATTAAGTGGGTAATGAATCAGAAAACAAATAATCAATACATTTCAGAGGTGGGGGAGCCAAAAGTGTCTTTGTCCCTGGGTGCTGAGAACCCTTGCTACGCCATTGCAACAGTTAAACTAATTCTTGAATTTATGTTTATTTTCAAAACTGTTGTTTAACCTATGTTCCAAATCGTTTTTATAAAACCAATTTTCTCTTTGTCATAGCAAAACCATCAACCTATTATTCATAGTTTCTTTAACTTCCTCATAACTATGCAAATTTAGTTTAAACTGCATTTAATGAAATCTTTCAGAGCTTCCTAAGTCATCCTGCATAAGTGGAATACATCTCTAGCATTCATTTCATTCACCCGTAACCTGAAAACTGCCTCACAGATGTAGTTCAAATATCTGTACCCATTTGTAGTCCAAACAGCTCATCCGTTTCTCCAAGTTTATGCCAAATAATTTTCTTTTAAGCCTTGGACACTATTAAATAATTTATGACCACACCCAGCTTGATGAATCACTCCTGAAAAGGCCATGTCTATTTCTATTCCTAAACATCTGAAGGAGTCTTTTATACATTTTAGGAAGCTCCTCTAATTTTTCAATATCACTCACTCCTAAATACTAAAATAGGTATTAGCAAGTAAACTGTCCTATACTTTAACACCAGACAACCAATTATAGCTTTTTTTTCGGTGTTTCTAGGGGGAAAAACATTTATGCCTTTTTGAGGAAGGTAGTTTCTAAAATAAAGTAGGCAGTTTGCATTGTTATTAATGATAGTCATGGTGGTGGGGGGGTCATGTGCAGAGAGAACTCTGCATATTTCAAATTTAATTATTTTCCATGGTGCTTTCTTGTACATTCAAATATACATTGATGGGATTGTAATTGTCTTCATTTATCTGCTGCCGCCATCTGCTGGCCTATAAAAGACATTTTATAAATCACATATTTAAGCCACAATAATCATTCACAATCATTAGAAGTCAAGTGGTCTAACCACCAAGTCATGAACTTCACATAAGTTGAACACAAAAAGAAAAATGTTCTGATATGCATTATGTTACTAAGTAGAATTTTAGTTGATGCTATTTATAAAAGTTTAAAGACATTATAATGTCATTGTATAGGTCATTAGTTAGACCACATTTGGAGCACTGTGTTTAGTCTTGGGTTCCTTACCTCAGAAAGGACTTTGGATTGTTGGAAAGGATTCAGAGGAGGGCTGCTAGGACAATACCTGGGATGGAAACATTATCACTTGAGGATAGATTAAGATATCAACTTGCTTTTTCTTGTAAAAAGATGAGTTAGAGGTGATCTGATTGAGGTGTTTTAAGATTAAGAGAATTGGTAGTGTTGATGCATCATTTTTTACATTTAACGGGGAGAATGGTAAGACTAGGGGTAAAAATATACATTTTGGCAAGGAAGAAGTCATCTTCAGCTAAGACAGCTATATTTTTTCTAACAGAATGGTTGGCCTCTGGAATGGGTTACCTTCAGATGCAGTAGATGCAGTTAATTTAAAGGAATTTAAAGAAAATATATCCAGATATCAGAAAATACAAGCTAAGTTTCAGTTAAGATAGTTATTGTTCTGAGAATGTAATTGGTTTATAGAATGAATTACCATCAGCAGTTGTGGAGTCTGGCACTTTACAAGAGTACAAGAAGCAATTCGTGATTTCCTGAAAAATAAAGAGTGAGTTTACACTTTTACCTTCTCAAAGGTAGGCATACAAGGACCAATTTTTTCTTTGTCCTTATATTATGTAATGATACTTATTGTTCAATAAATAAAATATTGTTAAAACCAACTGCTCTTAATGCAGTAGCATACATGAGTAAGAGTAACGTATAGCAGAAACAATAGTGTAACTAGAATTATTTATAAAATACTAAACTCATATTTTTACATTTTTGAAAGAAATGGATGTACTATTTGAAACAATAGAGCTTAACCTACAGTACAGTAAGCTTTATTTCTCATAATTAGGCCATGCATTTTGAATTTTAAGAAATTGAATAAGTAATAGGATTAAGGAGAATGGGTTTACATGTTTTTTTTATAATGTATGGAATTGGTAAAAGTCAGATGGTCATATTATTGGGGAACTTATCAAGCACTATATTACACCACGTTGTAATGTCATTCAATTACTTGAAGTCTGAGCAATGATCAGAGAAAATTATTTCTAAATTTACTTCAGTTTTTCTTTATAATTTCAAAAAAAAAACTTTCCAGGCCATATATATTAGCCCCTAACAGTAAGAGGCACATATATATATATATATAAAAAAACCTAAGTAAAACCTATCTGGACAAGATATGCCTGGCAAGTAAAGCTGGGTGATTATAATTTGATATTCCATTAATTGTTCCACTTAAATAGTTGGAATAACTGAAAATAGTAATAACTGGAAACACTAATTTCTATTAGTTTATTATTTTTGAGACATTAATCAGTTTAATTATAGCTTTCATTAAGAAAATATTTTTTGTGACCCTAGTTGGCGAGCACATAGATCATGTCGATTGCTGATTAGCAAGGGGTTTTCTGGAACTGACATCTAGTCATACTTTGACTTGGTTGATATAATTCTTTCTTTGGTTTTAGAAATGCTATATCTTCAGTGACTCAAGAAGAATTCAGTTTTTCCTAATTTATTCACTTGTGCACAACTGGCATGTCTTCAGAGAAAGCCACAATACATCCATCACATATGCACATAGAGACAAACATGAACACTACAGTTCCAAGAGTCTACATGAGGTGGAATATCGCATGGTGTAATAGTTATCCATTCAGTTCAATCAGTCATCCTCTTTCAGCTCTCCTGGTGATCATAGTAAATAAAACTTGGTATTCTCCATATTATCAGGTTATAAAGACTTTTATTCTAAATAAAAGATCAATTTCCATTTCATAAATACAATTATAATACCAAATGGTTGCCAGGTATTTGATCATTCCAAGTATTTGAATAGGAATGATCCAAACATTCTTGCTCATCACATCCATCTGTTTTTGTTTAATGTATATTTTAAGCTGTACACATTCACATTTCATCAAGTGAATAAAAAAAAACAAATCAAATAGTTAACATACTGGTAAATAACAAAAGAAACAAGGATAGAAGACACAGCAATGAGCAGAATGAACTTGGGATACAATAAAAGGTACCACAGTAAAACCCATTAGTTAATGATCGGGAATGGTACGAAAACTATATTTTTAACAAATGGAATCATTTCTGAGAATTAACAGAACATTTTGGTAACAACAATCACGTACAAAAATCGTTTCATTATCAAGAAAAACTTTTGTGAACATCTACATTTTCTTGGACCCATCTTAACACAAGTAGGGCACATATGATGCTTATTGCTACTACTTCTCACATGAACACACAAAACTAGCCGTTGACAAAGAAATCATCAGCATTCGAATTTCAGACACAACAAAAAGGAAGCAATGCAGAAGTCATTCTTATAAAAGCCATTTCTGATTCTTTTCCCAAAGCCGAGTAACACTTGGGTACAAAATATCTAAAGGGTAACTTATCTGATTAACATGAAAAATTACGCTGGAATTAAAACCTCAGTGAAACACATCTTGATCATGATGGACAAAATATTTGTTGAAAATACAAGCAATATTTACCAGTTTGAGGAAATGTCCTGAGAAGTAAAAGAAATACTACAAGGAAACCAACATTTTACACAATATTTTGAAAAAAAAAGTTTAATCTTAAACTCATGAAATGTGTATACAAACCAGGATGCAAGAATCGAGCAAGCATTCTCTGGACCAATAATAATTTTGAATCTATTAACAACAAATAAATTTTTTTATTGGAAATAGTGTGACACACAGCGATCAAGTAGTAACCATTACTTTTTTATTTTAAATAAACTCTTATACGTTAATGGAAATTATAGATTACACATAAAATATAGAAAATTTGTTTTTAAAATAAAGGTCCACGTTCAGGGGGAAAAAAATCAAGAAGAGAGCAACAATTAGTTTTAAACATTTCTGAGATAAGCAAAGTGAAAACCCACAAATAAATGTAAACAGATAATGAACAATATATAGTTTTAAACAAGATTAATGGTGTAGTGCAAATACCTAAACAAGAGATTTCATAACTAGAACATCAAGCAATACACTTAAGTTAAAACTTTATAGCTTTACACATAGTTTTTCAACCTAAACATGATAAAGACAACGATTTATGCCAAAAATAACTGTGTTTACAGTAATGAGATTTCAAATTTATCACAAAATGGTCAACAGAGCAGAACTCAATGACTATATATTTTTTATTCTTAAAACCTGGATTTGGAAATAAAAAATTTTACTGTAAAAATATAAAATATCTTTCTTGATTTATGAATAACAAAAATCGTAAAGAAAATATTCTTCAACATTTCTTCGAGTTACAATTGTTAATGTTACTGTTAGAAATTAGAAGCACAAATGACTGGGTAGATCAATAGACCCCAACCTAAGTCTATATACACTTGTTTTTTTCCCTTTCTTCCTTCACCTTTTCATTTTAAATTCTTGCCCCTATTTTATGACTCAAAATTCTTGCCGAATTTTTAGTATATCAAAATTATTTTCGCGTCTTTTTGGATCTCGTGAATCGGAAGAATATCCACTCCTGTTCAGGGATTTCAAATTCAATTTCATGAACATAATTCATGAATTTCTTTTTATGAACGTTGAGAAAATTATTACGTTAATGCTATGTTATTGCTAAAGTATAACTATAATAGTATTATTAAATTAGTACTACAGTGTACTAGTATTAGTGGTAATGATATTACTATTATTAGTAGTAGCATTAGGCCTAACGTAGTAAATATATTTTCCATCCGAAAATTGAAACGGCCAACACAAGGAAATAATGAAAGTTGAAGTTGAACCAAGTACACTTACTTCGGAACGGTTTTTTTTCGAAATATCAATTCTTACCTTTTAACTACACCCATTTTTATCTTTATTTGTTTTAACCTTGGGTCTGCCATTTTCAAGTTTAACTATAAAGTTTTTAAATATTTATTTCAGGCCAACCACGCACGCAAGTAGACACAAATTCTAACAACTGAATATTGCAACGAACGTGACTCAATCTTAATCTAACCATGATCTACGCGCCAAATTTGTCAATGGAATTTAGTGATTGCAAAGTTTAATACGTCAATTTTATAAAAAGGGATTGCTATATAAATTAATACTAATTAGAAATTTAACATTAAATGTTGAGTGAAAATGACGATAAAGGAAAAACGACGCCTTGTTATCCAGAGAGTTCTGGGTTCAAGTCCCGGTTTCTGGGTTGTTTTTCACTTATTGGTCTTTAAACTTAAAATGTATTGTTGATATCATGTTTTTTACAAATGAAATATCTCTAAAATATACATTTTTGCTAAATTGTATTTTGAATTTCACGTACAAAGAAACTCAGTAGTATGTTGTGGAAACAGTTATATTAAATTTCAAATTGGTACGCTAGGTTTAAATCTGGGTTTAGTTACATCCAGAAGAAACTGAATTAACGTTAGAGCTATCAAATAGCTCTGTGAGATTGCAGGAGATTCTCTCATGTTATTGATTATGAAGTGGTACTAAATTTCTAACTAACTGAGTCGATGTAAAATGAAGTAACGAGACTGGACATAAAGTTAATACAAAATATCCAATTTTTATTAAGACACTAGCTACAAAGATAGTGTGAGTACTTGCGTGAATAAACACGACAGACTGATGCTTCGGCGGATGACTTTTTATCTGTGTTCCACACTATACTGACTGAATGTAACATTCCTTAACATGCAAGAATCCTCGTATTTACCAAAACCAACCAGCGCTAATCATATGACTGGTTATTTTATTACAACATAGGTGAAGCTGTAACCTCAAGTTATCACCCGGAACGCTGTTGAATGAAACTGTTCTCGACTTCCAGTACTGTGCAGTATCCTTGCCATATGGATCAGGTATCATCTCACTTCAAGTACAACAATGTAACAGATGCTGCTGCATAGAATGAAACCAATTTAATGAACTTATCAACCAAATGCTATGTGAAAACCTGCACCATGTATATAACAAAGAGTGAATGCAGAATAAATACTATAATATTACAAGAAGAAAGAAATGCGTGACATAATGATATTGTTACGTTTCCGTTTTTTAATTAACTTATTCCGTAACTTCGTTTCAACGAAACTTTAACGACACAAGTCTT